ACAGGATAAGTTAGCTCTGGGTATAGACCCCACATTCACATTGGCATTCGAATAAATTGGTAACACAATCCAGCACTTCAATTTCTTTGGCAGTAAATATAAATTACCACACTTGTATACAAGTACTTCACTGGTTCATTTCTTAGTCCTACAGAACACAGTGCCATGTGCTGCGGTTGCTAAGGATACAAAGACCGGGAATAGGGCACTCGATCTCACCTATCTGCCAGCAAGGCCTAATCCTTATCGTGCAAGGGACGGTATAAGCTTATAATTATTTCTGGTTCAATTGCTTCATCAAGTGGGGTACATGCTGCCTCTTCAGCAGGGATGGTGCTTAGCCCCTAAGAAACTAATTCCCATCAAAAGGAAATTTATCTAAGCATATAAACTATCCTAATCTGAAGGGGAGCCTTGGCGCAGCGGTAAAGTTTGTGACCATGAGGTCACGGGTTATAGTCCTGGAAACAGCCTCTTACAGAAATGTAGGGAAAGGCTGCATACTATAGACCCAAAGTAGCCGGACCCTTTCCCGGACCATGCGCAAGCGGGAGCTACACGTGCACTGGGCTGCCCTTTATATAAACTATACTAATCTGAGAACCTTCTGCCCGTTTGCGCTGCACCTTTGATGGGAACCCACGCCAATGGCAAACGGTCAAACCACAAAGTCCAGTGGGCAAAGTTACTAGCGTCATTATTATGATTGAAGCATCAAAATAGTACTCCCTCCGTCCCGAATTACTTGTCGCAGAAATGGATAAAAATGGATGTATCTAGTAAATATATTGACGTGTACCAACAACCAAGGAAGGAAGCTTTGTACTTATGTGTGGATCAAGTCCAAGAGCAGATGCAATTAGATTGATCTACTGAGTTCTGCTACTGCTTATAGTTTTGTGGGCAGATGCCTGCTCTAGCATGACATGAACAGAAATAAATTTGTAGTCATTGAAAGTCGGATGACATGAGTGTGTTAATAGTACATAACGGCTAATGCACATCATTCACCAAGGAAATGGCTGCTGCCTACAAATCCAAGGAACGACAAGTATTGTTTCTGCTAGATGGCAAATAAAAGAGCAACCTAAAGTAACTGAATTCAATGATGTCACTTAATTCAATATGCATGTATGGTGCTCAAGGCACAACTGTGGATAATGGAGAGGCCACATGTGTTGTTGTTAATAACTTGCATTTGCATGAGATTATATTCTGAACATTTAGAAAAAGTAATGGACAAATTTGTGTAAGTTTAAGGGACCAATTGTGAACCAGTAAGTGAAGAATAAAACCACAGCTTGTACTGCTTAACTTGAAAATATCCACTACTAAAACATCATTCACCACAACCCAAAAGGTACATAAACCCACTAGTATAAGCGTGTGGTGACGATTTATCATTATCAAGCATGTGGGTACAACTTAAGGGAAGTGAATACCTGTGAGGGATTGGAAGCAATGGAGATCGAAATTGTGGGCCTGTAAGAGGTCAATGCCAGTACAGCCAGTGGTAGGGGACAGCTGCTGTGAGATAGCATGCATCGAGTGCCAGAGACTCGCCAGACGCAAACTGTCGTTGGTGTCCATTCTCCCCGCTGAGCCATAGTCCTGGGGAGATGTGCACGTTGTTCAGACTATCTCTAGTTCTCTACAAAGTAGAAAAGGAAGAGAAGTGCAAGAAGATACCTTGTAGTATATAAGGCCGCCAGACTTGTTGATGATGAAAAGGCTGTAGATTGCGACTGTCCCCATAGCCACACAAGAAGGCTGAGCAGAATTAACAGCTAAACTCCTGTATCAGATGTAGATAGAAAGATATACATTAGATAATCAACGACAAATAAAACTTGGGTACATGTAGAAAAGATATACGCCATTTCGAAAAAGAAAAAAATATACGACTAACCAAGGAACTGGACACCTAACTTGTTTGGAACTGAAATTGTCCATACAGATAGCTTTAACTTGGACACAATAACAATACAAAAGCTACAATTTAAGAAATGCTAATTCCACTGCCTTATGTACAATCTACCTATACCATTGCTGATATCCAGTGAAATAAATGCATAATCCGTTGTTCAAGTTGATGCCATATATTTAATTTGGTCGTGCACAATTAAGGAGTGGAACATCGATCTGATCCAAACTACTACGTATAAACTAACTAAGGCAGTGTTTGGTTGAGCTGTGGATTGTACAAAAACTGCTGTGGAAAAGCTGGAAGGTGTTTGGTTGAGACAAAGTGTGAAATTGTAGATTTGTCTGTGAATCGTCTGTAATGCCTCTGGGACCTGAGCGAATATGTTTATATATGCAATTGACCATAAAGCAGTGATCTGTACATTGGTCAATTTTACCAGGAAGATGTTAACAACATAACAATAACAGGAAGAAATAGATTATCTTACAAGCCTCCTAAGCTGTACGCTTCCACATTTCTAATGGCCATGTACGCTGTCACCAATGTCAATTATTTTCATACAAACACTTCCACAAACACCTTCCAAGCAAACTCCATTACACAGTATAATCTCACAATATGCAGGAGTAGATAGGAAGTAATCATCATATTTTCCTTACACAACATGCACTTGTAAACATATATATTCATACAAGAAGGTCATTGCCTGCAGTTTTATTTAGAGGACATACACTGCAATTAGGACAACATAGAGGCAGCGCGGCCTGCAGCGAGCCAGCAGATCCGGCCGATGCAGGGGGAGGAAGGAGGGAGGAGGGGGGAGGGAGGAGGGAGTACCTGGGCCGGCAGAGGAGCGCTGCTCCGGGAGGCGGCGGCGCGGGCTGGAGGTTCGCCGGAGGGCCGGCTGCAGTGGCGGCGGCGGAGAACCCTGGCTCCTTCGTTCGTGCGGGAGTGCGATCCCTCCTCTGTTCGCACCATACCCGAAAATCAAGTTAATAATGAAGGATTTAGGGGAGGGGGGAGATGGGAGGAGGATGAGGGGGAGAGGGGAGGGAGCAGCCCCTGCTCTCCCATGCGCGCCGGCGGACGAGAGAGAGGGGTGGGAACAAGGGGGCGACGAGGAGCTGTACCTTCGCGGCGGCGAGGAGGCACGATGTCGACGGCTCGGCGAGATCCAAAGGCGTCGGAGACGAGTGAGGAGAGCCGTTTCTTTTTTCTTTCTCTTTGAGCGAATAGCGGCGACTAAGCCGGTGTACAGGCCTCCTAAAGGGAAGCGACGCCCGAATGATTTCGTAATTGACGGCCCATTAACTCGCATTTAGTCGCGAATCAACCTGTGGTTTGGTGAACAATAGTATCCTTAGTTCATCAGGGTTTAAATCCTGATGCTCGCATTTATTCTGGATTTTTTTCAAGATTTTCGGCGATACGCTTTTAGTGAAAGAAGACGTTCCCGACGCCTACGGTGAGTGTGCGTATGTGCGTTTATATGATCATTTGTGTCTGTACTGTGTTAAAAAAAACTCGCATTTAGTCAATTCTAGTCATGCTTAAAAAAACATAAGGTTCTGTCATCCACCTCTGTCATCCGTCGAACATTTCCCTGCCCTCTCATCTTTTATCGACCTTTATGTTTTCTTTGACAAGATAATAAGTTCTTATCAAATAAGTGATTGTCAAATAAAATCCTAAAATTTATTTAGGTAGGTAAAACATGGGCACGATTTGATAAATAATTGTGTAGGCAATCTGGAATCATAGACTATCATACTACAAAATATTTACATCCGTTGCAACGTACATGCAATTATCTAGTTTGTTAAAAATCAAAATCAACCAAATAATGAAAACAAATTGCACATAGAAAATATAAATATAATGTCCATCTCATATTTAAAAAATGTTCATGCACATAAAACTTTCAAAAACATCCATTCTCAATTTTGAGAACAATGTGTCACCCTGTTGGCTAAGCTCGCAAGGAGCAAGCTAGCCCACTCACACTCGAGGCCTAGTGGCGCATGGTGCTTAGAGACTTCTATAAAAAAAACATGCCTCTAAAGGCGTCCTGAATGGTCTTGTTTTTTTAATGTATTTGAAAAGAAATAAGAATGGTTGTTTCCATATGTTAGAAAATATACTCATGTGATTTTGAAATGGGTGTGCTTAGGTCTTAGTCGATTGAGATTTAACCAAGTCTAAGTCAAATGATATAACATGTAAGAAAGAAAAAGAAAAGAAAATTTTGCACGGATCTCAACGTAAAATTCTACGAATATAGCATCGATTGAGACTTGGTTAAGTCCCGTTTTGAAAAAGGTGTTCACATATTTTCTCACCTAGGAAATGAAAGCAAAACAAGCGGAAAAAAAGAGCGGAAAAATAAAACCAAGGAAAAGAAAAGGAACAAGGAAAATATTGTTTAGGCTGCTAGTTATCTGACTGTTTCTGTTCATCAATCACCAGAGAGGAAATAAACACACCTCTATCACTAATCTGCAAGCCCGCAGTACTGAAGAATGCCCTAGATGAGAACCATATCATATCATGATCCAAAATCAAGCATGTATGCGACATTCCCCAAAAATCTGTAATTATAAGACCAACAGAACAACTTACATCTGCAGATTTAAGTTTGAGGATACACCAAAAGAATACCTAAATGCATTTCTGGACAGGCTCTATATGCCCACTCTCCATATATCACTTGCCTTCTCTCTTTTGGGCCATGCACATTACAGCAACAACAAATAAAAAATGAAACGAACTCATGAACACATGTTCACGTCAAATGTCGTGGTGGCGGTGAGACCTGCTTAGGGTGCCCGTCACCGGTAACTAAGGTAAGAATCTTGTACTTATACGACCGCTGGAGATCTGCGACTGCATGGGTCCGGATATCAGTCTTGACTCCACTGCAAACTCTTATCATGTAAACCCGCTTTCTCAAGTTTCCTAATTCTTCTTCTACTACAACAAAACTGTTAATTCCTCTTCCACTGCAACAAAACTGTTAATTCTTCTTCCACTGCAACGTAACTGTTGGCCCACTCGTCGAATTCCTCTGACTCTTCTACTTCTTGCACCTGTTAAAGGAGGTGATTCTAAGTTAACTAAATTACCACACTAGCAAGGAGCAATGGCAAATATTCGGTAGCTAAATGGGAATAGACAATAGAGTGGACATGGATTATTCCTTGACTTTCAAAGTAGACTAGTGCCTGATTTATTTCCATAACAAATTCTCCAACAACAAAGAAATGCATAGGTAATTAATGTGTACATGCTGACAGGATTGTGCAAAAAAATGCAGGTTATTATTTCATAAGACAGTAATGGAATAGTAATTTAGCACTACCGAGACCCCTTTGACTTCTTTGTATTTGCTCAAGCATTGTGACAAATTGTAACATCTGAGAGAGTAGTGACAAGCATATGTTGCAGAGAGTAAAATGATTTTCACCACAGGCACCCCTTTGACTTCTTACTAATTGCTCAAGCATTGTGCGAAATGATAACATCTGAGATAGTAATGACAGGCATATGTTGCAGAAAGTAAAAAAGATCTTCAAAAGCATCATATAATGTTAATACCTTGTGGAAGAAGATCCATAGCTTTTTTTACTTTTCTTTCGAGGATGACGTTCATTCTCGCCATCCTCTTGATCACTCTTTTCATCACTCGTATCGACAGCTTCGTCCTTTTTATGCTCTGCCCTGGTCAAGCTTGCCAATCTCCTGGGAAGAAAAACATTGTAGTAATACTTCGCCAAATCCTTTGTTTCCTTCTGTCCGAGCTCCTTCAAGGCAATCTCCATGAATTTCTGATGTTTATTCTGAGGAATCAACTTGTCAACTTTTTCAAGTTTCCTTTTGAAAACTGTGGTCCATTGCTCTCCAACTTGCTCACCCATTGCGTCTAGCCCACAGTTTTTGAAAGCTTCCTCACCCAACTGATCCTTGATCCAGCTCCTTGCCTTCTTTACGTGAAATCGTACACAGTCCTCAGATCCAGGACAAGAACACTTACACTTGTCTACCAATCTTTTCCTCTTCTTCTCTGACTTGTCAGTTGCTGAGATATCCATGTTTAGTGGATAGACAACTGTGCCCAGTTTTGGTAAGGTTGCAGCTTTGTAATCATCAGTATATTCCACAGATGGAGCATTTTTCCACTCAGGGACAGAAGCTTGATGCTCGACAGGGTCTGTTCTAACACGTTTCAGCGGATAATTAGATAAGTAGCTGATCTTACAATTTAGCCTCTCCGGACTCCTGCTTTCCTGGCAACATGGAGAAGTGAATTAGACAGACTCGAGCAACAGTGATCAGATCAAAGAAAATTGGTTTTATAACTCAAGAAACATTTAATAAATAGAAAAGCATATTGCAAAACAAGCGATAGCAGTGCCAGAGTAATTTCATGCGGCAAATTTTGTTGGAATTATTCTTAACTTATTAGAAGGGTGGCCTAGTGCCAAGTCAGCAGGACTAGGATATTTAGCACGCAAGTGCGCTGCACAATCTGCATCTCTCGGCATAAAGACATGATTTAGCATGATTAAACCATAATAATCAAATCTTGGATAACCCTAGGACGACAAGTCCCATCTATTTTTCAAGCATGTTAAGTGTACAACCATAAATAAGCTCTTAGGACTAACACCTGAAAGGAGCATATGATATGACTTATTAATCCTTAAATGCAGCAACATCCATTGGCAGGGCTACACTACATGATCTTTCAACTGGATTGCTAATGTCAGAATTAATGAATGTGCATATTTCTCACCTGCCAAATCTGAACTACCATGGGCATTCAAGAACCACGATCTAGTCTGATGTGAACAGAACATTTGATTGAGATAGAAATCAAGTTTAGAAGGCCACAACATATTTTGATCAAAATGAGTTGGTGTCATGGGTAGTACATGCGCACCAAACAGACAACTGAGACATGTCCCCCGGGTAAAAGTTGCTTAGCACCGTTTATCTAAAATGCATTGATAGTTAAAAGATAACAGGCCACAAAAGCGAATCACCCCTATATATAGCTGGCCTCCGAGAGCAGCTAGATCCAAAAATTCAAACCTGCATTTCTCACAGAATCAAAAGCATATGCCCGTGTGGAATCAGCTTCGGATGACCCAACGGATTCCACTGACATCATTCCATCTTTTACACAGATGTGTCATGTGTTACCACTCCTGCCAGTTTTTTCGCTTAAGCACCAAATAATATACAGTCGCCCATATTCACGCGTCAAAAATCTACAGACAGCTGGCCCAACTCCCGCGTAAAAACACAGCATAAGAATATGATGACGCCACCCTGTCAAAAGCACGCACCCCGACTAAGATAATCTGAAACAAAAGTATGGCATAAACACGGCCTGGTAAATTTATCGAGCGAACCAAACATCGATCCCGGTACATATCCTATGGCAACGCACAGGTTTGTAGGTACCAACCAATTCAGCATATCTACTATGATAGTTTGATATACATATGTGTTTTTTGTACACAATAAAATCTGGAATTTAGACACAAAATAAATAGCATAGAAAATATAGCAAATGTTGAAGCAATTTTTTAAAAAATGCAGCAGAGATTAAAAGGGGTGACATCAATTCAACATTTTATCTCATCAAAGCACACTAGTTACCAGTCTAGCACAAATCTGAGCTAATAACTAGTATTAATAGAATAGAATAAGATTCCATCTTGAAAGTAGTATAACTCCATGTCCAGATTAGTCATAAAGGCATCATGAACTTCGCCCCTAAGTGGCATCAGAGTATCAGACAGACCAAGCTCTGGGGAAACTGGCAATAAATGAATGAAGAGACACGCCAATTCCTACCTAATTCTTGGACCATGGCGACTAATAACGGGGTGCCGTAACTAGTACAGAGAATCCTAACACGCAAGAAATGAGTGACCATCGCATCGCGCAGGCAAATCCTAGCGGCCGTAAATTCGCACAGGCAAACACAGAGCAGGTAATCCGGCGATTAGAGCAAGAGCAAACGCGTGCAATCGTTGGCGCAAGACCCACTCTAATCACCACAAGCAGCGACAGATCAAAGATCACCGAGCGCCAAGGCGGAATCATCGGCGGCGAGCCCCGAGTAAGGCCCCGCTCCAATCACACCCCGGTGCACCAAGGACATGGACGCCGCGAACCAAAAAACCCCATTCCGCACGCTCCAACAGGACGAATTCGCGCCGCCGCTTGGCGAGAGGCCTCACCTGCGGGTACGGGTAGTCGTCGTCGTCGTCGTCGTTCGGGACGCGGGCGCAGCGCGCGCCGCGCACCGTGAGGAGCACCTCCCGCATCCGCCCCACGTTGCCGAGGCCGCGCCCGTGGCCCCGCCCCGCCTTGGCCGCCCACACCGCCCCCGCGGCCACGCGCCGCGCCGTCCGCACCGCGCCGACCGCGGCCTCCCGCGCCGCGACCGAGGCCCGGGTCTCGCGGCTCGGCAGCGAGGGCGGCGCCCCGTCGTCGTTGTCGCCGCGCCTGCGCTTTCTCGACGCCGACGGCGGGGTCCGCGGCGGGGGAGAGATGCCGCCGCCGACGGAGCCGGTGTACGGGAGGTCGGATCCGGCCATCGGGGGGCGCGGCGCTCCGCCGGCGAGGTGTTTGCGGGAATGCCCCCGCGGCGTGGGCTGGGGTTTTTGGCGCCTGGGGTTGGGTTGGTTCTGCAGCCGCTCTGCTCTCAAGGGTTTGTTCGGTTGGGGCACGTGAGAAAGGCAACCCCCTCTCTTTCTTTCAAGATGGGAAACTTGGCATGTGACTTTAGAGTTTAGAATGCATGCTTGCCAAAAATTAGATCTAAAGAGTAAAGTAACCACGATGGCATTCCTTCAAAAAAATATCTAAAGGGTAAAGTAGCCTTTAATCACTGTTTGACCCAAAAAAAATTTGTTTATGGTTTGAGTATGGTAAATGATTCCAGACGACTGACCGGCCGAGTTTTGCGCTGGTCGCCTCGTCACGCGACAGAAATAAACCAATCCAAAGGTGATACGTGCTCTTGCGGGTACAACCTTATCTCTTTCCTTTCTCTCCTCCGTTTTTCATCTCTCGCACAGTGCGTCTTTTTTCCATCTTACACGGGAGAGCTCCTCCACCGCAGCGGCTCGTGTTCAACTTTCTCCCTACTAGCAAAAGGACCCGTGCGTTGCAACGGGAGAAAAGAAATCCTTATCATCAAAAAAATATTTGCAAAGGAAAATTCGCCGCACATTCTTCTCCGTGGAGCAATAGTTCTTCTCAAATATGCCCATGTGTTGTAACGGGAGAAAACACAATAAAACGACCCAAAACCCTGCCCATTTGCTCCACCCACACACACATGTCTACGTCCTCTATTTCTACATCCTCCATTTGAACACAACACCCCACTCGTGTTACGGCTTATTCTCTCTCTATGTCAACATATTAGAAACTAAAATAATGTAACTAAAAATCAAGTGTCCACAATATTCTCATAAAATGCAAATGTTGAAAGGCTACGCTACACAATATAGTATAAAGCGGAATTAACATCAGGGCTAGATTTGCCAATACAACAAGGAAATGTTGTGCTAATAAGTTTGCCAGGAATATGTTAGAAAAGCGACAAAAGCGCTAGCACATCACTCACAAAATAGGTAGATACAACATATTGTGCAAATTAGCTAAAGAATCACCCTCATACAAAAATATAGCGGTCAGGAGTCACGCGCGAAAAAAAAGACAATATGATATTTTGACTAAATGTTCTACTTAGTATATTCACACCATTATTTAATTCTGTTTTTGTTAGCCCCAGTCATGCATGTCGCAATATCAGGGATTTTTTTTTGCCTATTTAATGGATCTTTCCTTTTCCCCCCATCAACCGTTCATGCAAGTCTCTCTCTTTAATTCCGTTTCACCACGCATGCCAGACCCATTTACTGGGTCTTTCCTTTTTCTCATTGCCCACCATAATCTCCCACAAACATGCAAGTCCCTCTTTAATTCCTTTTTTGTTAGCGATAAACTACTAAAAAATTAGTCACTTGGAAGACAGTTGAGAAGTCAACTGACACTAAGAAATGAACGCTGCAAAGGGTACATATTTTTTACTACAAACCACAACATGATGCGGATCATCACTACCAAAAGAAAATGGACATTGCCATGGATAGAGGTAGGATAACCAATTTCTTTGAAAGAAGGGAGGTAGGATAACCAGTTGCATAACTTCTAGGCTTAGCATGCTGGAGCCCTGGAAATACAGGTCAAAACAAAGCGACACAACCCACTCGATGAGATTGCTATTGATGCCTTCCTCATAAGATTAGCCTTGTCCAGTGGTTGTGGGCGTGATCACTTTAGTACTAAATGGAAAACCAAAGTAAAAAAACAGAAAATTCCCTCCGGTCCGTTGGGTCAATTGACCGAATAGTTAGCATGCAAATGGCTGACGAAGCTCGGGAAAGCTATGATCATCCTAGATGGAAACTGCAACGACGCGGGGGCGCCCCCAGGTGTCGTGCGTGGTACAACATCGGCCGGAGCTCGCGGAAAGGCCGGAAGTCGGAGAGGAGGTCTGGCAGTGCGAAAACTCAGAGAAGGACAAGTTGTGTTGTGTGTCGGGATAGTGATATGGGGTGGAGATCCCAATTCAGAAACGGACCGTTTTTTAGTCACTTCAACCTGGACTGCGAGTTGATTGTCCGAAAACAAAGACAAAGTATCCCACACCGTACTACTAAAAGTGTATAACAATGGTTGATTTGACATTGTGGTCCATTTTGTGTAATAAAAAACAATTACATTAAATTAAACCTCCCTTTTTTCAAACAATAATTTAGATGTTGCGACAAGAGCCCAAACATTAGCACATGCGACAGGAGCACATCAGCAAAACGCAACAGTAGTACAGGATGGGCTTGTTCCTACTTCCTAAATCTACATACTTTCTCGAACAGCCGCTCTATGTCTAACTTGCATAAACATAATCTACTAAAAGTATAGCAAACTATTATAACCACCAATAGCAATTTAAATCAATTCCCCAAGTCAATAATACAAAATACATGGTATTAATGTTATTGTGTTTCGCTAGCAACACATTACTAAAGCTTGGAAAGGATCATGCTCACATGTTGAAGCGGTTCTGGCACATGACATCCTACGGACATATAAAACAAAGACAAAAGGGGCCAGGAGACAAATCAATTGAAAGAGAAAGGAATATTTCCTCTGGACCATACATGATCTGATCCGCACGTACATGATGAGTTGATGGACTGCACGAGATGCTTCTTCTTGTGAGTGCTTCTCTAGCTCAGCCATCGGATTAAGGAGGTTGACGTCCTTCTGCAACAGCTGCTCGGATTCCCAACAAGACAAATATGTTAAATCCATGGCAAACAGCAGGGAAGCAGGAGCATCATGCTGCAGGATAGTGTCCACCACACTTATGTATGTGCTGTTCGGCACCATTTATTTTTTGGCACTATAATCGAAGAGAGGGGAAACCAATATTAGTGTTTGCACAATAGTGCTTCTCTGCTAAATACTTAAGAGATTAATTGTACAGCCTCATTTATATCCTCTGGTTTCTCCAGGTAAGCACAGCCTTTGAGGGGAAACTACCGAAGAAGAGAAACTTGCCATGAGAGATGACATCCCAATAGACATTGTTGAACTGCTTTTCAAAAGTCAGGATGAGAGACCATGGATAACTAAGGCTTCTGCTGAAGATTGACACTACTTTTCAGCAGAAGCATTTGAAATCATGCTACTTTTCAACAGAAGCCTTTGGAATCAGATAGTTCTAGAATTTTGTAGCAAGCTAGCAGACAAATAAAGATGGAGGGAGAGGGAGGAGAGATGCTGTCCGGAAGGCTTGCCTGGAGCTGGATGTGGTCACAGAGCGACGACGAGCCATGGAGGGGCACGCTGGAGGGAGCAGCCTGGGTTCTCGGCATCTTCCATGCTTGCTCTCCCTCATCCTTCCTCGTTCTCTTCCAGGAGCACGGCGGAGCAACCATGGCGCTGCCCCGGAGAACCACGACGCCTTGTGCCGCCGACGCTCGCCTGGATCCGGAAGCCACCGTCGTTCTGTGCGTCCAGCCCATCCGCCGCCGCCCTGTGCAGGCCTCACTCGATCGGATCCGATCGGGTCGAGCCGGAGAGCCGCCTGCCTCCCCACACGCTCGTTGACCCGCCTCGATCCAGAGATAGGGGTAGGCGTGCCGGCGGGGTCGGCGGTGGCGGCGCGCGGCGGCGGCCGGCTGCGCGCGCTGAGGTGGGGCGGGGCATGCCGGGAGGTGGCGGCGGGCTGGAGGTGGGATCGGGAGGCACGGTTATGCGGCGTTGACCGCCTGAACACCCCACGCATGGGCCGCCACAGCTGCATCCAGCCCAGACACAGAACATGCATGCTAGATGGGCTGAAGCCCAGGCGCGGAAGACGCATGATTGAATTGCGAGACAGAAATTTAGTACCACCTCGTTTATATTGCGATTTTGTCCATATAAATCGTAAAAGCGTATTATGACATGAGAAGAAAGCGTATTGTGACGGTGAACCCGGAGACCCAATCCGTGCTTTATTATTAGGTAAAGATTGTGGCCAGCGGAGCCATTGGTAAGCGGTCGAGCCAAAGTTGTGCTAGGCAGTCGAAATTTGGTTCGTTTGTGCCCGCCAGATCAGATAGCTGTTAGGTGGCCGGCCCAAATTTGTGTCGGCGAACCGACGCCTTGCCTCGCCATTTGAGTATTTATATGTGTTTTTTATTTTAGCAGCTAAATGCTCGTGTGTTACTACTCTTTACTCCCTTCGTCCGAGTTTATTATATCCCCTTGTATTTTCAATCAAAATTTAGCCATCTATATTGAAGGAAATATGCCCTATAGGCAATAATAAAGTTGTTATTTATATTTTCTTTTATCATGATAAACCTTTATTATCATGGTAGAATTGTATTAACCGGAAATTTAGTACATGTGTGAATACATAGACAAACAGAGTGTCACTAGTATGCCTCTACTTGACTAGCTCGTTAATCAAAGATGGTTAAGTTTCCTAACCATGGACAAGAGTTGTCATTTGATGAATGGGATCACATCATTAGAGAATAATGTGATTGACTTGACCCATCCGTTAGCTTAGCACTATGATCGTTTAGTTTATTGCTATTGCTTTCTTCATAACTTATACATGTTCCTATGACTATGAGATTATGCAACCCCCGAATACCGGAGGAACACTTAGTGTGCTATCAAATGTCACAAGTAACTGAGTGATTATAAAGATGCTCTACATATGTCTCCGATGGTGTTTGTTGAGTTGGCATAAACCGAGATTAGGATTTGTCACTCCGATTGTCGGAGAGGTATCTCTAAGCCCTCTCGGTAATGCACATCACTATAAGCCTTGCAAGCAATGTGACTAATGAGTTAGTTACGGGATGATGCATTACGGAACGAGTAAAGAGGCTTGCCGGTAACGATATTGAACTAGGTATGATAATACCGACAATCGAATCTCAGGCAAGTAACATACTGATGACAAAGGGAACAATGTATGTTGTTATGTGGTTTGACCGATAAAGATCTTCGTAGAATA